CTTCCGAGGTCAACCGTCTTCTGCGACGAACGACTGCCGCGTGCCTGGCGGCCAGGATTCGACTCGTCATCCCGTGGATCGAGACCGGAAAGCAGCCTACTGACTGGGTCTCTCGTTTGACTGTTGCAGATGAACACGGAGCGGATCGACGGGGCCACGACGCCTCGATCCGCCGCAGCTCAGCAAACTCACCCCAGAGACGATCGCCAGGTACCGAGCTGCTGGGAAGCCATTGTCCACGCGGCTGGAGGAGCGCAACTTCCAGCCTGACTGTGCCGAGGCCTGGGGCGACCTGCTCGCGGATGTCAAGAATGAGGAAGGTCTCTCGCGCGGCCAATTCACGCAGCTGCTGGCGAGCGTGGAGTTCTGTTTTTCGAGATTCAGAGGGCGCCTACTCTGGGCGGGGGCCGTGCTGGCAGGCTGGGCGGTGAATGCACCTACGAAGCACTCTGTGCCGCTCGGCCGTGGACCCGCTGCGCGTATCGGCGCACCCTGGGCCAGCCAGGGCCCGTTTCGTTTGGGAGTCTGGTTTTTTTTTTCCTGCAAGCCAAGCGTGGACTTCGACAATCAGAGATGTTGAACATGCTACCTGAAGACATCACAGCGCCGTCGATGTCAGGAGGGGCGTCTTTGTAGCGTCACGTAGTCATCGCCTTGGGCCCTCGCACAGGGACCAAGGCGAAACGAGCTCAGCTTGTCATCCCACGTGAGGAAGAGGACACGCTCATCCGTCTCTTTTCCCGCCTTGTTGCTGCCACGCCGACCTCTGCCTCTCTCTTCCCATACTCGATCGACCGCTACCGCCGCATGCTCAAGACCATTGAGGGGATCCTGGGCGTGCGCGCGGAGTGGACACCCCAGTCTCCCCAAGCTGGGTTCGCTTCCGACTCGGTGGCGGACGGGCTGCCGTTCACCGAGATCGAGGAAACGGGCAGGTGGATCTCCGAGAGCTCCATCAGGGTCTACATCGACGTGGCAGCCGCGAGCGACATCATCACCAGGTGCGCTGGCGCCGGGCTGTCGAAGTCGAAGGCGATCCTTTGGGCCTGCGACAGGTTCGAGCCCTACTTCCCAAAGGGCTCTTTTGATGCCACCGACCGGCTGGAAGAAGAACGCGGAGGGCGCGTCCGTGGCCCCTCTCCCGCTTGCAGAGGCGGCGCCCCATCTTCACCTCGCGGCGGATCCGCCGCCAGCGCAGGCTTTGGAGGCGGGAGGAGGAGGAGGAGGAGGAGGAGGAGGAGGAGGAGGAGGAGGAGGAGGAGGAGGAGGAGGAGGAGGCAGGCATCGAGGAGCTGCCGCCCGCCGCGGCCGAGGCCGAGGCCCGCGAGGCGGTGGGCGGGCTGGCGCGGGCGCCGGTGGCCTCCGGGGCCGCGGCGGGGCACGCGCGCGCGGCGGCCGCGCGGCGCTCGGCCGCGGCTCGGCCCCGGAGAGGCAGCTCCTGGGCCGGGCGAGGGTGGCGCTGGCAGGGGGCCACATGCGAACCCTACCCCTGCCCCCCCCGATTCCTGAGGGGGAGGGTGGGGTTCACTTCGTTCGGGAGCTCCCGGGCGAAGTGAGCCCCACCCTCTCCCTCAGGAGTCTTGGGGGGCAGGGGTAGGGTTCGCATGTGGCCCCCGAGCTGGAGCGGCGCTGGGCTGGCCGCGGCCATGCCGACCAGAGGCGGCGCGGCCACTGCAGTGCTCGTCCTTGCATCCTGGTTGGGACCGGGGCCCCTGGCGCACGTCTCGGCAAGGCTGGGCTCCGTGGCCTCCGCCAGTCGGCCAGCTCGGTGATGAGCTCCAGCATCCGTGCGGCCTCCTCGTTGAACTCGTCGGCCTCGACGTTATTCCTGGGGGTTGCGAAGTAGTCGTCGCTGTCGACGTCGCCGGAGGCCTGGCGAGGCATGGACATCTACAGCGTATCGGCGACGGCTTGGCAGCACCGGGCAATGGCCGACGACGGCGACTTGCTGGCGCCCTGGCTGGAGGCATCCCAGGACGACGCTGTGCTCGTGCTGTCCGCCTCGGAGAAGGCCGCGCTGATCGATGCATGCGGCCACGTCCCTGGCCCTGAGCTGGCCGCTGGTGACCGGATCTAACCGTACACTGTCATGGCCCGGGTCTTTCCGAGCTTTCGGTCTTGAAGCAGTCATCCTCGAAACAGGCCGCTCAGGCCTCGAGTGGAACGTGACCGTAGCAACGTTTGAATGTGCCTGGATGAACCCTCGCTCGGCAGCACTGGAGTTAGACCCCAGCACTGAGCACGAGCAGATTTCTGAGGCCCTCGAGAAGTGACTCTCTAGCCCGTCTGACCTTCGCCATCCCCGCCTGGCAGGCCCAGACCCTGTAGCCCCGGTTTTCGTTTTCGGGGGCCTCGAGGCTCGGGTCTGGAGGGCATTTCGACAATTTTTGATGGCGTGCCAGTGCATGGGGCATGTCGCCCTCGCCGTGCTCGAACTTGCGCTCTCAATTCGATAAAGACTCTCGCAACGGCGGGTGCCGGCTGACTCCATTTGTGCCAAATGTGTGTGCGATCGCAAGCTGGGGATGGACCTTCTTTCAGTGGCGAGCGTTTCCTCTGATCGCCTACTGTGTGATATACGGGCTCAAGCAAGCGTGATCCGATTAAATATCCGAGAGCAGCAAGCTGGGAGCAGTCTCGCGTCCGAAAAGAAAAATAGCCATCGTGTCCAATTGCAGGCCTTCTAAAGAAATGTCAGAACTATAGCCCTCCTGTATGTTCATTCCATACGTACGTTATGCATACATACATACATACATACATACATACATGCATGCATGCAAATATGCATCCATACACGCATACATACATACATACAACACACCCATACATATATACATGCGTACGTGCACACATCCATCCATCCATCCATCCGTCCATCCAACTCTATCCATCCATCCATCCATCCGTCCATACATACATGCATACACGCATACATGCATACAATCACACACATACATACATACATACATACATACATACATACATACATACATACATACATACATACATACATACATACATACACACACATACATACATACATACATACATACATACATACATGCATGCATGCATTCATGCATGCATGCATACAAACATACACATATATATACATACATACATGCATGTGTGCATGCATACATACATACATACATGCATACATGCATGCATGCATGCATGCATGCATACATACATACATGCAGACACACACACATACATACATACATGCATGCATCCATCCATACATACACACGCATACATCCATATATCCATGCATACATGCATGCAAACGTACATACATACACACATACATGCATACACACATACATACATACACATACACATACGCACATGCATACAAACATACATACATACACACATACGCACACATGCATACATACATACATGCATATATTCATGTATATATGCATAAATACATTCATGCATTACATACACATACATATGCATATGCATTACATGAATATATACAGACAATCACACACACATACATGCATAAACAAGTACACACGTACATACATACATACATACATACATACATACGAACAAACACACATACATACATACAGACATACACACGTACATATCTATAGAAAAGGATATGGGGAGAGAGAGGGACAGAGAGAGAGAGAGACAGAGCGAGAGAGAGAGAGAGAGAAAGCGCGAGAGAGAGAGGATACACATCTGCACAACGGGAAACAATCTAATCCAGAAAAATCCCAGGACCCCCCCCCGGACAACCCATGCTGAATAATGACCACAAAACGACCTACCCGGACACCCCCTTGGACAACCCAGCAGGGATCCGGACAACCGCATCGGACACCCCCACTTGGACAAGCCGCCCCGGAGGGAGAGGGGGAGGGACGAGAAAGGACGAGATAAATATATAAAGAGAGGTAAAGAGGATCGAGCGAGGGAGAGAGAGAGAGAGAGAGAAAACAAAAAAACAAAAAAAACAGAGATACGTACATGTTACATAGCAAGAGAGAGCTACTTCAATTGGGAATGCGTTGCGTTTCTGTCGCTGAGTTGTTTGTTTGTTATGTGCTCTGCCGACGCAGCGGTCCACGCAGCCAACGAGCGTGAAGAAGATGAGGCGGCAGTGGAAGAGGGGAAGTAAAGTAGAGGGGCAGGAACAGCTGCTGCGAGTGCGCCTCAGCGAGGCCGTCCACGACCACAGAGCCACGTTGCATTCAATCCGTTCCCGCTTCTGAGCGGCAGAGAGGAGTGGGACCCGCTCAAGAGGAAACCTCGACCTGGAATCGTCGATTCCTGGCCGACAGGTCGGCGACTGGCCCCCCATCGCGAACCCGGGCATTCCTGGGCGGGGCAGGCTCTCAGGCTCACGCCGGCGATCCGTGGGCGACTGGCGGTCGATGCACTCCCCCGAGCCGCTCCGCCACGAACGTAGCCCCTGATCGGAGCCCGAACCCCGAGCCGCTCCGCAGCCGCCGGCGGAGAGCCGGTGCCCCTGCGCTGCGACAGAGCCTCCGCCCTCCGGCGAATGCCAGAGGTGGAGACCTCCCACATGGGGTCCGAGCGGGTGGGGCCAGAGGATCGCGCAGCATCGTCGATGCATCACCTGTGCATCGGCGATGCATCGGCGGCATCAGAGTGGAGAAAGTCGGGCTGCACATCGAGCCGTACCGCCGATGCATCGGCGATGCGGCGCGGTCCTCCGACCCCATCTGCTCCGACTCCACCTGGGATGCCTATCAGAGGAGCACAGGATGTAGTCTCAAGTGGGAGGCCGGCGTGCCCCAAAGGAAGGGGTCAGAATCCTGGCGCCGCTGCCCCCAACGTGAGGACAGGCGGGACGTGGGCGCAACTGCGCCTCAGCGGGAGAGGAGCCGTGACGGTGGCCCTTCTCGGAGGAGGACGAGGACTCGACGATGCGGTCGGTCTCGAATGTGAGGCGCAGGAAGAGGGCGAGGAGGCGGGAAGGAGCAGCACGAGGGGCTAGAAGTGCGCGGCACCTCTCCCCCTCGTCCGTGCCCGTGTCGCCGCCGATGCGCGACAGCGCCACCTTCGCGCGCGCGCGCCGCCGCGCAGACCTGCTCCTCGTCCGCCACTGCTCTCGCATCCACCGCTGCCTCCTCCTCGTTCCATTCCCCCTCCGTTGCCACACGCTTCCCCTCGCCTGATATTCCTCTGCACCGTCTCCTCCTCATCTGCCTCTCCGTCCCCGCGTGCCTTCTATTCCTCCTCTACGACCTCCAAACTCCTCCTCCTGCTTCTCCACTTCCTCGTCCTCCTCCTCCTCCTCCTCCTCCTCCTCCTCCTCCCCCTCCTCCTCCTCCCTCTGAGAGTCAGAGGCTCAGGAAGAGCAGATCGAGCAAGCACAGCCTACACTGAGCAAAAGGACACACGTATAGTTCGGCGGAAACGATGGCTCGGCAGATGGCCCTCCCTTTTACAACTGAGAGCCCCTCTTCCTCCTCCTCCTCCTCATTGTGGAGCCCTCTGGCTGCGGGGAGCGTTTTTCGCGTGTTCCTAAAGGTGTTCCTTGCCCAAGGTGCCCCCAGGACTGGCCAGGAGGCCTCCCACGACGAGCAGAAATTAGTCGCACTACTTAAATTACTCCACCTAGATGGCCCAACATAGGACTCTCCACATATACTCTCTTTTCCTAAAGAATGCAAAGATTACCCCCCCCCACGGAACTAACAGTGCCCATTTTCGTATTGCAATTTGCATGCGATTCTACCCCTATCGCCCATCCTAAACATGAGTTCGAACCATCCCAGGCAAGCCGGGCCAGACCCCCTGCAGCAGCCCGCCTCGGAGACATCCGCGCACTACATGCTGAGCTCGCCGTCGGCTGAGATCTCCCAGGGCGGGCTCGCGGCGCACGTCGAGCTCGAAGGCGCGGGGCGCCCCGCGCGAGGCGAGAACGCGCCGCGGTGCCCGCGACCAGCGGCCTGAGCCACTGAAGATCTCAAGGTGCCCCTTCGAAACGGCAGCGCGGGCTCAGGCGCCCAGGTGCTGCGCGGGGTGCGGCCATTTGTCGCGGCGCAGACGAGGGCCTGGGCTTGCTGGTCTGGATGAAGGCGCTGGAGTTGGTCCTGCACTCGCCCCCCTTTGACATACCTATTGAGGCTCCGATCGGCCTCCCAACGGCCTCGCTTCTTGATGCCCCCGAACTCGCGGGCGCTCGCCCGCGCCTCGCGGCCGGCCCCCCCGTGGCGCAACTGGTGGAGCACGGTGGGGGAGATCCGGACCCGGCTCCTCGTGTCCAGGGCGAACGGCGGGAGCTCGGCGCCCCGCCCTTCGACGAGGAGGTCCAGCATCTGGTCCGCCCAGTTGATCTCCGGGTTGTCCAGCAGCAGGCTGATGCCGCAATCCTTGGCCTTCGGCCCGGGCCTCGAGCTCTGCGGGGAACGGCAGGGCGGAGTGCGTGCTCAGCTAGGTGGCGCGGCCCGCGCTGCACCGGCCGCGCGACCGACCCCGCCCGCGGCGAAAGCGCCTCCGACGGCCACAGATAGAGGACGCACGTCAACGCAGTAGCCAGGGCGGCCGCCGCGAAGCCGTTCGTCGTCATCCAGGTCGCCATCCACGCCGCCGCCGGCCATGGCAGGGGCAGCCGCGCCCGGGGAGGCACAAGGGCCTCCCGGCCCTTCAGCGCCCGCTTGGCCCGCGGCAGGTTGCCCAGCTTGGGTGTCAGGTTCAGCCTGGAGTGAGCCATCGCCGCCACCTGCTTCGACCCGTCCTGCAAGTCGTGTCCGCCGAAGAACAGCTGGTCGAAGTGCACCAGGGGCGCCTCCTCCAAGTCCGGGTCAGCGGTCGCCGGCAGCCTCGCAGCCGAAGCCCAGCTCAAGAAGGCGTGGTATCGGACCTGATAGTCCACTGCAGTCTTGTCCCCAACCGCTTTCAGCTCCAAGATCGACCCCTGCCCGCGGCCCTGCCAACACGCCCCGTCCGGGCGTCTCGCCCCCCGACGCGTCGCGCGGGCCGCGCGGGCCAGCGGCTCGGCCGCCGCTGGCTGGGGCCTGACCAAGCTCGACGGCGCGGCCGGGCGGGGGGCCGAGGGTCACTGGCCCCTCGCCAGGAGGCCCCCCCCCGCTGGCCGAGAGGCTGCAGCCGGCGCCGCCGGCGTCTGAGCAGCTCGCCCCTGCTGCCGTCGAAGCGTAGCCCAAGCCCGGCAAGTTCCTGGAATCGCGGTCTGCGGAGTTCCGCTCTGGCACACTCGGCTCATCTCCCGCCGCGACGACCGCCCCTTGGCGGCGGCAAGGATGGCCCCCAGACAATCTCCCAAGCACAAACGGCATCGGTTGAAGGAGGACGCGGGTCGAGGGCGACTTGGTGCTCGGAGCGACTCCAGCGGTGTGAAGCGACGGGATGGCAGCTCTCTGCCCAGACCTCGCTCGGGATTTCGGGGCACTCCTCCACCTCCGTGATGTCCTGTCCAGGTCCAGAAGCCCACCTCCTCCACCTCCTGAAGCTTCCTGGGGGCGTAGTGCAGGCCAGGGTCCGACCCCGGCATGATGGGGGCGGCAGACTTCGCAGACTTCAGAGCGTGCGCTCGGTGCGACACCTCAACCTCCTGCTCTGCATTGAACCTCCACCTCTCGTTGTATCTAGACAGGCTGAGAGCGACTTCTGGCGATGACATTTTCTGGGCGATCCCAACTCCCCACCAGGGCGAGTCGACCATCGTGTGCCCGCCATCGAACGCAGCACCAGCGCAACGGAAACCAATCACAACCAAGCTCGCACACCAGCGCAACTCGCGCAGGCACGAGGGCCAGAGCCGAGCCGCGCGGCCCCCATACAGGGCGGAAGAAAAGCATACAGAGCGTCGAGGCTGGACAGGAGCTCGCGGTGGATCAGCGCCCGCGACGCGAAGTGCGAGACGACCCGGGCGATCGTCTTGTGCCAGAGTCGAAGCCCCTCCGGCGCAGCTCCAGGAAGGCGAGCCTCAGCTTCCACCTCGGCGCTGGGTTCAGGCCGATGATAGGGAACAGCTCGTCGAACTGCCAGCCCGGCGCCGAGTCCCCGAAGCTGCATTCGACTCCGCGGGTCGGAAGACCCGCCGCGTGGAGCTGGGCGCCCACGGCCGCGGCGGCCGCGCGGGCCATCTCGGGGCTGGTCGACAGGCTGAGCGCGTTGTCCACGTACTCGGCGTGGACCACGTCGTCCGTCACCTGGGGCACGGGGCGCCGATCCACGAAACGATTGCGATGGCGAGGCCAGACACCTGCAAGGCCGTCGCCCCCAGCATCGCCTGACAGATCCAGAGGAAAAACGAGCAGCCCATGGGCAGGCACCTGAAGCGCGGGTAGACCACGTCCGACCCGCCGATCTGTCGGCCGCCCGCGGCGCAGTCGAGCCCCGGCTGGCCCGCCCGGATTCCAGGCAGCGCGAAACACCGTCGGAGAGCCGGCGGCAGCAGCATCGCGTCGAAGGCGTCGGCCAGGTCACCTCGGCAACCGCGATTAGCTTCCCGGGGCTTCCCGCAAGCTCGCCCCCGACGCGAGGGCCGCCTTGTCGGGGCCTGGAAATGCCGAGAGGCGTGCCGGCCGTCCAGGATGAGCCGCAACTTTCTAAGGATAAAACCGAAGAACACACCCACGCTGCAAGCTTTGGCAGCGCAGAAGTCGGCGAGGTTCCGACGCTCCAGGACCCGCGGGAGCTGGACATGCAGCTCGGGGTTCCTGAGCGCCGGGTCAGTGCGCAGATTCCGAGGGCCCTCAGACTCGATCCGAGCCCGACCCTCAGACTGGGACAACATCATGTCACGAGGCCGCCCAACTATCTGGCGGCCGCGACCTCCACCCAGCGAGTCAAGCGGCACGGGCTTGAAACCTTCAGCAGCGAGCGAGAGGCCGTTGACCTTGTCAAAGTCGATCGGGGCGACCGCGGCACTCTCGCCGGCGAGGCCGCTGAGAACTCGGAGATCCTCAAGGCCCCCTGAGCCAGTCAATCCCTCTGGGGGCGAACCAAACCGACGGACAGCTTGGCGAATGTACACGAGGGCCTGCTGCTGGCCCGCAGAGATGGACTCAGGGTGGTGGCCGTCGGGCTGGCGCGGCTGGCTGACGTGCAGCCCGTTGAGACCTCGCGCAACCTCCTTCACCGTGCACTCAGCTTGACCGCACCGATGGACACGACGAACCACCGAGCGCGCGCACTGGACACCATGTGCATCTGAATGCACCTGATGCTCTTGATCAGGACAATGAAATGGAAACATATCACGCTGCCTGCCGACTGCGTTGCCCTCGATGTGCTTCTCACCAGCGAGCGGCGGGCCACCGCCGCTGGCCCCCCCTCCGAACACGCGCGAACCGCCAGGGGATGCGGTCCGCGCGGCACGCCCACCGACGACATGATCTCAAGGCCCGCTGCTCGCGGGCCTTGCGTGATTACTTGCTTCATCACCGAAGCGCCCCTCTCCGCCTCTCTCGCCGCGTCCTCGAGGAGCAGCGGGCAGATCGTACTCTCTCCGTGATCTCGGCTGGGACTTGTGAAGACAGTCATCGAATAACCCGAAGCTCAGCAGGCGGTGGCGGCCTCCGCCACGGCCTCGACCGCGGCCTCCTCGTTTCTTCCTGTCGTCGCCCTCGCCGCCGCCGTCTCCAGCACTGCTAGAGCTGTGGTGAGGGTCTCGGTCCATCACGTAAACGTACTCATACATCTGGCACTTGCGAAGAATCTGCTCGGAACCAGCTATACTGGGCAAGTCGACAGCATCCCAGCAAGCCATAGTGCAGAGAGCCCGCATACCAGCCTCGTAGTCGTTCACACCGTAGTCGTCTGCCGACAGGCCCAGGGTCGACTTCCAGAACCGAAAGTGATCTAGCGGGCCGCCCTGGCGCCTGTCGATGTACTTGCAGCACCACAGACATGTTCTCGGCCCTGGGATATGCCAATCTACGAACGCCTCCTCGGTGAAGCTCGCCACCGCGTCGCGCCACTGCCGCAGCAACCGACCTCCAAGCACAGCGGGATTCGCCAGGATGTCCACCAGCCGAGCGTCAGAGGCGGCATCGCGACCTGCATATTCCTGAGCCGATCCCGAGATCGAGCGGATCGCCACCCACGAGCCTTCGCCCAGCGGCATGAGGCCCACCGACCCTTTCAGCTCCGAGCTGGCCGGGGGGGCCACCACCGTCCCACAGGGCCCAGCTGTCGTGGACTCGATGAGCACCCACACGGCGACGGGGCCCACGGCGGCGGCGCCCTGCCAGGCCAGCGGCCCCAGCGCCAGCTCCCGCGTCCACGGCCACCCCAGCCGGGGCCCCCGCACCAGGGCCCTCCCCAGCGGGGACCAGGGCGGCGGCCAGCGGAACTGCTGCAGGCCCAGCATCGACCACCGCGCCGGCGCCAGGGGCCGCACCGCGGGCTGGGCCGAAGGTCAGCGGTATCAGAAACGGCCCAGCAGGAGCAGGCAGGCGGAATCGCCGATGGTCTGCAGCCAGGGCGGTCGTGCAGTAGTCCATCGCCGTCTGATCGATCGCCAGCATTTCCGCAGCCGTCAGGTCTCGCCAGAAACGATATGAGTTGGCCGCCTGTATACAAGCTGGGTCCGTAGCGCGCTCACTGGCATACCGCACGGCGATGATGTCACTGCCAGCGCACCCATAACCCTCCTCGTAAATGTCGGTGTCCACCGTGCAGATCATGAGCTCGAGGGCGGAACCAGGCTCAATCGGAGCCCTCGCCCGTCGCCCCAAGATCAGCCGCTGGTGCCATACTCGTTCTCCGTCGTAGCGGACCCAGGCCCACCGTCGTACAGTCGGGCTCGATTGGAGAGGACACGCGAGAGGACACAAGACCCTTTCCGAGGGCCACGTTGCCACAGAAATGCAGGAGGCACGGGTCGCAAGACACAGGATACGAGGGTACCCTTGATCTGGCAGGGTCGACCTACTAATCCGGGGCCTCCGCTGGTGCCAGTCTCGCTGCGGCCATCATGGCGACGGCGACAGGCTAGGCAGACGCTGTCCCACGAGCCGTAGACGTAACACACCACCAGGCCGCCCAAGAGGATCTCGTTCACCAGCACCACCAGCCAGAAAGAGGTCGCGGCCGCCTCGCCCCCTGCCTCTGAAGCCACTGGACCAGGGCTGGCAGGAGCATGCGACCCTCCCAAGCACAACGGGCAGCCAGGAAACGGAAAACACGCCGCGCAGCTCGGCGTCAGCGGGCACGGAGGAATGGAGATGGACGGGCACCTCTGGAGATTGCCGCCCCAAAGGTAGGCGAGAGCTCCCTGTCAAGCGTACTGGGCAGCAGGGAGGAGGTATTCCATTCGCACCGCCTTGTTGCGAATTCTTGAGCCCAAAAACCAACGGAAAGCGATTATATCGACGGCCTGGGCACCGAGACCAGTGAGGAAAGACATGTACACATTATATATATAATGTGTATATATATAGGTATGCATATATATATATATATATATAGCTCGCCCAACATAGCTCATAAGTGGGAAGTGCCCTGAATGGCTTAGGCTCTGGACGAAGTGGGCGGCGCCCACTAAGCGGAGTTGTCGAACCCACCCAAGCCACTCAGGGCACCTGAAACCCACTTACTATAAGCTATGTTCCGCCAGATGTAACCCACCCTTGCATCCACTTGTAACCCCTTTCGGCAGGTTCGTGTCGCGCCGACTTCGGCGCTGGCTGCTGACACCGCGGGTATCCTTCAAGCTTGAACGATCGGCTGTTCCGAAACGTCAGGTCGTTCATCATCAACCGATTCTGGGTCGCTGGTGGCGTTCAACGTTGAACGCCCGCAGCTGGGTCGCCCCCCGGTCGACACGACCCAAACCTACCGCATCCCCCTAGCCTGGAGGAGACCGGGGGGTTTGACCTGGCTGGGACCCCAGAAAATCGGCCAGGAGAGGAGATGACGTCAAATCCGTTCAAAATCGGTCCCCCGGACCCCGAGGTCCATCGGGTGCAACGTGTCAACCTGGGGCCCGAAAACGGCCCCCGGAGGCCGAAAAAGGTGAAAGCCTTCTCTCGAACCCGGCCCTCGGACCCGCCCCTCCCCCCTGGCCGGAGCCAGTGCTGACCCCCGAGAGGGCTCCACCCCGTCGCGACGCCCGCGGTCATCCCTGCGAAGGGGTCTGCGCCCCCCTCCTCCAGCGCCGCCGCCGACGGCGGCGAGGGCGGCACGCGGCCGAACAGCAGGGGCGCCCCCCCCCCCAGGTCCGCGCGGGCAGCGGCACCGTCCGCTCGCCCATGAGGTCGCGGCGGATGCTGGCGATCTGGGGGCGCGCCCCGACAACGACGACGAAGACGGCGGAGGTCACGACGAAGACGACCACAACTCGTCGAAGACGACAACTACGAAGGCGACGACGACGACGACGAAGTCGAAGTCGAAGTCGAAGGCGACGAAGACGATGACGACAAGGACGACGAACGAACAGCGAACGACGACGACGACGAACGACGAACGACGACAACCACAAAGAAGACGCCGACGGCGCAAAGCCCACGCCGAAGCAAGCAACACGCCGCCCACCTAGTGCCGCTTCTTCCCCCTGGTGCAAAAATACCACGATGGACGGTTTTTGTAAGTTTTCAGCCTCTGAGGGCCCTCCACGGCCTCCACCTCCTCTCGTTGCGCAAAAATCACCGCGGACGGCTTTGAATCAGTTTCGGCTTCCAGCGGGGGCCCGCACCAGGCCCTAGGGACGAACGAAAAAAGCCGGTCCTGCAAAGTTTTTCAGACCTCCAGGGGCTCGCGTTGCTGCGAAAACGTGACGATGGACGATTTGGCGCAGTTTACAACCCAAAGGGGCCCTCACCCGGCCCCGGGGCCGTCAACAATTATCCTGGCGAAGAACCCAACCATGTGCAAGTGAGTGCCGCAAGGCAGGTGGGACGAAGGAGGGGGGAATTCCCTCTGGGGCCACGAAGCGTGTGACTGGTGTCCCAGAACGAGGTGGCGGCCGCTATGCGACTCCTGCCACTGGGGCCTTCGGCGGAGCTCCTGACGGGGCCACGAACCGTGTGAAGGGCGTGCCGAAAAACGGGGGCGGCCGCCATGCGACTCCTGCCACTGTGGCCTTCGGTGGAGCTCCCCATGGTGCCACGAACCGTGGGAGAGAGTGGAGAGCAGCAGCAGGCGAAGGGGAAGGGAGGAGGGAGGAGGAGGTAGGGACGCGGGGCCATGCGCATTCAAAACGAGCACCCAGCACCACAGGATCCGAGCACACGCAGGGACCCTGGGCAAGAGTGACCTTCGGTGCGCGGCTTGTAAGGGGGGCGCGGGGGAGGGCCAGATCCGAGCGCGCAGGCCACTGCTGTCGCATCGCCCTCAGCGATCGAGAGGGCCCAAAATGGGCCCGCACCAGAGGTCACTCCGGGGAAGGGTCACTCTTACGCGCAGGCGAAGGATGGATGGAACAACACAGGACGAAACGCGTGGAGAGCAGCAGCAGCAGGAGCAGGAGAAGGGAGGAGCAGAAGGGAGGAGGGAGGAGGAGGGAGGGACGCGAGGCGATGCGCATTCCAAACGAATAACCAACACCACAGGATGGTCGGGAAGAGCACAGGACGAAGCGCTGGTCCTGGGCAGGGGCCGAAGCTCGGGGGGCGCTTGGCTGGGCCACAAGAGACAACCCGGGCTCCGCGCTGCGCGGGTCGCCCGGCGCGGCATCGCCCAGGCAAGACGAAGCCAGGACCAGGGGCAACATCGGACAGAGATCAAGTTGGGCGCGAATTAAAAGGGGGGCGATAAAAAGGAGGGGGAGAAGCGTGCCCTTCTCGGGCGCTAAAGACCCCGTCTGGGTCCGAAAGGGCCCCTGCAGAGGCTCTACAGGGCCCCTGTTCTGCAGCCCTCGCTGCACCCCTATCCATCGCCCCCCTTAATTACGCGTTCTCCGATCGATTGAGGATCTCTGAGATCCGGCGGTTCTGGAGGATGCGTCAGGCGCCGCGGCCCTTCCATAGGGCTCCAGAGCGCTCAAGAGCGTCCCAGAAGGCTCTGGAACGTTTTGCCCTGGTCATACGGTCATAAGAAAACTCTGAATCAGGAGCGAGAGATTTTTCTCGCCACAGCGAGCCTCGGCCACGAAGAGGTTCTCCGATCTGGCTCCCAGGAACGGCCCGAGAATGATAGCCCCTGCTGAACCCAAAGTGGTCCTTACCTCAGCGTCTGGACTGTAGCCGACCCCATCCAGACCTGTCGCTCTCGCCCACGGGCACCGCAAGGAGGAAGGGCGTGGAGCTCGAGCATACTTGCTCTTTCTCTGGTGTTGAAGCCAGTGTTTTTTTTTTGTTTTTTTTTTTTTCTCTCTCTCTCTCTCTCTCACTCATGGCCGATGGAGAGCTGGTCGCAGATCAACTGTGTGCGAGTCGCACCCTCCCCAAACGCACGCAGCGGCCCCGCAAAAAATATCGAGTCTCATGTCTGGGAATACATAATCAGCTCCTCGATAAGGGGGCGCACCGTTCCAAAACGGCCTCCACGATCGACGTCAGTCCAGGTGCTTCCCTGACATACTCCGTGCTGACAGGCTTGCCTGCAGCACCTGCGCTTCGGGGGAGGCTTAAAATGTCGTTGCCACACCTCCTCCGCAGAACGGCCATTTGTCGCCTGGTGTGTGGCCAGGCAGCCCCGTGCTCACCCTTTTTCCCTCCGTATGTTGGGTTGGGTCCTCGCTTGGCTAGCGGTGCCGTGCGCATAATGCAACGAAAGGTATCTCTCTCACTCTTTTTCTCTCTCTCTCTCTCTCTCCCTCTCTGCTACTCCCCTGCCTATCCTCATCATGATACTTCTGTGCTTCTTACTCCCTCTCCTCCTGGGGAGCCCTGCGAGGTCCTCGGCTTTCTTGTTCCGAGGCTGGTTCATCGCCGCTGCGAGGGCTCGCGGCCTGATCAGGCGCGGCTCAAGCGAGGGGTGGAGGAGGGGTTCGTGCGAAGGCAGTGTGCGAAGCAGGATGGAAGAGGGAGGAGGAGGAGGAGCAAGAGGAGGAGGAGGAGGAGGAGGAGGAGGAGGAGGGAAGTAGAGGAGGAGAAGGAACCGGAGGAGCACGCATGTCGAGACAAGGAAGGACATGCCACTGAAGGAATTAAGGGCGCGGGGAGAGAGGAGGAAAACAAAGAAAGAGCGTGATGAATGGAACGACGGGGGGGAAGATGAAGAGGAAGGGGACGATCCCTCACCATCGGCAGGGCAGGGCGGGGGTGGGATGGGGGTCAGGTCCGCAGCGTCGGAGGAAAGCGGGGATGCGCACTGCCCCCACGTGGCGCGAGAAGGCCAAAGTGACGTGGAGGTTCTGGCAGACGAGCAGGGGCAGTGCTCAATGTCTCGAAAGCGGCCAGATTGGCCTTCCGACCTCTGGGGGCGGGGCCTACATTCACAACAGATAGTAAGGATGCGCGGTAAGGATGCAAGGGCCTTGGAAGGCCATGCCGAAGCTCTTCGAGCGCGGCGCGGACACCAAACGTGGTTGAGGATGAACAGGGAATGAAGGAAGTGGCAACGTTGCAAAGGGTGCCCAACCCTAGGGAAGTCGACCATCCTTACTATAAATTTTGAGGGCAATAAGTTTCAGCAGATCTGTGGGAGGTCCTGGAGCGCCCCGCTCCGTGTCTGGAGCCTTGTCATGTCGTGCGCGGCATCCGCTTCCACCTCCCGCTGGGGCGCTGGCAGGCGCCCCTCTTTCCAGCCGCCCAGCCCTTTGCATGAAAGGGCTGGCGGGTGGGCACGAACAAAAACAACGATAGCAACAGGGCTGCAGAGAGAAGACCTCTCAGGACCCGGGCGCCACTTCCTGCGTCGTGATACGACCAGGGAGCTGGAAACGCACGCTGGCCGGATCAGGCTGTGAGGCATCTGGAGGCCACGCGCTGGATGCCCATGCGGAAGGCCATCGCACCCGGCCATCTACTGGGCGAGAGCTGGAACAATGAAAAATAACAAACCAAACATCTGGCCACATGTGATTGCAAAAAAAGATGTTTGGTTTTTTTGGAACAAAGAAAAAAACAAACCAAACATCTGGCCACATGTGCATCCAGCGCTCGCCCAGGCTGGCAGCGCCATGAAGACCCCACTTCCCTGACAAATCCCCCCCCTCAAGCCGGCCCTGGGTCCTGTACCTGACTACCTACCAGACCACCCACACCCAACCCGAAGACCCGAATTTCGGGTTGGGGGGGGTAAGGGTTCCACATGTGTTTTTTTTCGATGTTTCCCGACCCCCCCCCACTGGAAATCGAGGGGAAATCAGAGCCTTCGGGTTGGGTTGGGGTGGTTTGGTGGGCGGTGAGTACCAGGGGGCCCTGTTGACCAGGACTTTGGGACGAATCCCGCATGGGGCGAAGCTGGCCCGCCAGGAGACCGACCCCAACTCCGAGCGCCTCCCTGTGATCGCACCGGAGCTCGCACAAGCGCCTGGGCAGACCAGAACCGGCTGGAGAGTTCTGTTTTGTTGATTTTATCGCCTCATTGACTTCTTTGTTGGGACCCTCGATTTCTACCAACTGCAGCTCGGCGTACTTTTGCATCCAACTTTTCTCCTGCTAAATGCTCTCCGAAATCCGGCCGAAATCCGGTTGCCCCAATTGGCGGCACAGGCGCAGTCGACGCCGCACTCGCGCAGTGCATGCCTTCTCTTGATTACGGACCTGGCTTCCCGATTCCCCTTCTTCGTCACGTGGTACTGCATCCTCCATTCCTGTGGCCCCTCAAGTGGCTCCAATGCTTTGGATTCGTCAGCGCCTCCGCTTTCGTCGATAACTCCGCCGAACTCGACGCTGTGGCACCTGGGCCCTGAAGGAGGCTGTCTTAGATTCTGCGTGGGCTCTCCTGGGTTTCCTGCAGCCCCTTGACCCGGAATGCTCCTCCCTGGTGTTCTTGGAGCAGCAGGCTGCAATGCGACCATTTGCGCAGCATTTCTACACTCCCTCTCACTGATCGGCGCGAATCCTCCCCTGCCTCCTCCTTTCCAGCCTGGAGCTTGGCTCCCGTGATAACCTCCTGAGGGGCCCCATTGTAGCCTCCCTACGTGCAACCCCCAGGCAACTTTTTGTACCCTCCCTGCTGCTCTCCTTGTTAACCTTTGAAACCTTTGTATTATCCTTTTTTCCGCTTCCTTTCCCTTTCAACGGCACCTTGTGTGGTGCAGTCATTGGCCATGTGCCCGTGCCTTGCACACCTGAAACATGGGTATTTTGCGCTTACCCTCTCCTTTACTACTTCGCGCGTGTTTGCCGTTCTCGGCCGCTCCCTCCGCAGTTCAAGGCCACCCGTTACCTGCCTCATTGTAAAAACTTGCGTCGTCTCTAGTGGCTTCCCACGATCCACTGTCGTCATCGTTGACCTGGCCAATGTCCATAGCGTCGGCGTTAGTTGTGTCGGCGTCTAGCCTCTTCTTCCCTGCCCAGAACTCGCACTTACCGAAGCGTTTGTGGCACGTGTCGATGCTCAACGACTCTGGGACTTCAAAGCACTCTTGTTGCCAGTCACCAAACCAATCACCAGCGGGGGCCAGGATGATTCTCAAGGCTGCAACCCTGAATGGCAGCGGTAACGGAAAGGCAGACCCATACTTACCAGTGATTCTACTACCGCGCTCCAGTGCCCAAGCTGCGCAACCACCTCATTCATTGTCTTCGGCTTTTCGGGGTTCATGGCCACGCTCGCCTCGTGCGGAAAAACAGCCCCGGTAACCGCAGATACCACTTATATGTTTTTGGAGAGGCCATACAAAAAAACATGCTTTCACGCAGGCCCAGCTTCCCCCGAGGCTCTGTTCCCTCTTGCTTGTCGTTGAACGAATACCAGAGGTCCTCGTCCAGCCTGGGACAATCGTCTTCATCCAAATCAGATTCCCGCTATGGGTCGTCTTCCCTTCTTTTGATGTCACACGCTCTGGTGTACTCCCTCAATGTTAACATCAGATCGTCCTCTTCGTCATCGAAAATGCACCATCCATGATTTCGAACATGCTGTTCAAGTTATTGAATGATTCCGCTGCGCTCTTGGGCGAATGCAATCCAACGTGGGCGAAATCACGCACATTCGAACAATCCCACCAGCCCTTTGGGCGTGAGTGGTTTAGAGTGCCCGCTCTGTTCTCAACCCCCTTCTTCCCCTTCGGGGAGGGGTTTACCCCTCCCCCTACCCCCTCCCCCTGGGCCTGGAGATGTCCTTCCGCGGGTGGTCGGAGGGGTCTTTTTCGACTCCTGGGAGGGCTAAAATTCGACACCCCTCACGAGGATCGTGGCCCCGACGGGGGGGGGGAGAAAAATGCTCGCCCCATCTGTGATCGATCGCCCGAAAGATGGCCCCAAGATACCTCCCAGACCCCTCCCAAAGAGCCCCAAGAGGGCCCTAAGAGCGCCCCGGGAGAGCCCGCAAAGGGCTCCGAGACCTCCAACATATCGCCCAGAAGGCCCTAGTATATCCCCAAGATGTCTCCACATATCGCCAAGAAGGCCCTAGTATATCCCCAAGCACTGCGACAACGACAACGACTACGACTTCTACCGCTACTCCCACCGCTACCACCACGACTCCTACTACAACAACAACAACTACTCATACTTCTACCGCTACTGCTACTGCTACTACTACTACTACTACTACTACTACTACTTATTATTATTACTACTACTACTACTACTATTACTACTACTACTCCTCTCACTCCTACTACTGCCACTTCTTCTTCTTCTACGACCACTACTGCTACTTCTGCTACTACTACTACTACTACCGCTACTAATTCTACTACGACGGCTACTGCTATTGCTACTGCTACTGCTAGTGCCACTGCTACTGGTAATGCTATTACTACTACTGCTACTAGTACTACTACTACTACTACTACTACTACTACTACTACTACTACTACTACTACTACTACTACTACTACTAGTACTACTGCTACTGCTACTACTACTATTACTACCACTACCACTGCTACTAGTACTACTGCTACTATTACTACTGGGACTACTACTACTGCTGCTACTCGTACTAAGCCTACTACTTCTACTATTACTACTAGTCGTATTAATGCTACTACCACGACTACTACCACTACTACTACTATGACTACCACCACTACTACTGCTACTACTACTGCTACTACTACTACTACTTCTACTACTACTACTACTACTACTACTGCTACTACTACTACTACTACTACTACTACTACTACTACTACTACTACTACTACTACTACTACTACTACTACTACTACTACTACTAGTACTACTACTTCTACTCATGGTGCTACGGCTACTACTACTACTACTACTACTACTACTACTACTACTACTACTACTACTACTACTACTACTACTACTACTACTACCACTGCTATAGTGACTGCTACTGCTACTGAGACAACTACTGCGACGACGACGTTGACGACTACGTTTGCGACTACCGCTGATACTGGTAATACCACCACTACTACTACTACTACTACTACTACTACTACTACTACTACTACTACTACTACTACTACTACTACTACTACTACTACTACTACTACTACTACTGCTACTACTGCTAGTACTACTACTACCACTACCAATTCTACTACGACGGCTACTGCTACTGCTACTGCTACTGCTACTGGTACTGCTACTGCTAGTTCACGTGTGTGCAACGACGACGACCGCCCTCTGTCTTCCCTCCCAACACCTTCTCTCCCTCCTCCTCCTCGGACTCGTCCTCTTCCCGCTCCCCCCACTAGGTGGATGTACAAGGCGGCAGGAGGACATAGGAACAGGGTATATATGCGAGAGCAGGCAGAAATACGCCTGAAAAACACGACTGTCGGCATGCTTCGCTGGAGTTGCTGTTTGGGGATGGGCTAGTGGGGATAC